AATTTGTTTTTTTTTTTTTTTTTTTTTTGTATAATTTATGATTTAATTTAAACATTAAAAAATAAGATTTTTTTTTTTTTTTTATTAATTATAAATAATGAAACTTATAGTATGTTTTTTTTTTTTTTCTGTGTAATTTAATGAAGAATTTTTAAACTGTATTATATTAAATGGTGTTAATAAATAATATTAAAAATGTAGTAAAATATTTTAAATTTTTTGATAATGCAAAGATATATTCAAAATTATTAAGTAATATTTATAGTAATAAGGTAAAATGTTATAATCAACAAAAAATATTTTGCAATACATTCATTGGGAAAATATTATCCCCAATAGAAATAGAAAATAAGAAAAAGGAGAAAGAAATTAAAAATGAAATAGAAAATAATTATTTAATAGAATTTATTGATAAAGAAAAGAAGATAATATATGACAATTTTAATGATTTAAATGAATTATGTTTAAAAAAGTTTAAAAAATTAAAATGTGATTTATATTTATTAACATCATCAAATAGAGAATATGTACCATATTATTTCTATGACTTTTTTTTATCATATAACAGTTCGCAAAAAGGTGATAATTTAAGTAAAAATGATATTTTAATAAAATTTAATAACATCATATTAGAAAATGAACAGTCATGTTATAATAATAGTGTAATAGATAAAAACCTTTATATCGATGAAAGTAATTCACCTAAAATTATTACAAATGAAGAATACAATAAAAAAATAGATAACAAAAAAATGAAAAAAAATAATATTTTAATAGATAATAATGAAATAGAAAAAAACTATTTTTTAAATTTATATAATTTAAATGATAGAATATTAGAATTTAAAGATAATATAGTAAAAAAGAAAATGTTTACATATTATGAATCATTATTACAATATAAAGATATAAGTAAAATAAATATTGATTCATATATTAAGTTAAGTATTCAAAAAAATTTTAATATAAAATATTTAACTACTGTTCAGTATTGCTTATTTCCTTTTTTTTTAAAAAATTTTGATTTACTAATTAATTCTTCTAAAAGCACTGGAAAAACATTAGCATATTGTATTGCTCTTATACATAAAATAATAATACAAATAAATAATTTAAAGAAAATGTGTATGATAAAAGAAAATTATATTTATGCCTTAATAATATGTCCTAATATAATTTTAGTTGAACAAACTTATAAAATTATTAAAAAATTAATAATCTATCATCCATACAAACTAAAATGTCATTACATTCATGGAAGAAAAAATATAAATATGAAACAAGAATTAGATGAAATGAAAAAGAAGAAACCACATATAATTGTAACAACTCCTGTATCTTTTATAAATCATATAAAATTTTCAAAAGGATTTTCAAAAATGTTTTTTTTATGTGATACTATAATTATTGATGAAGCTTATTTTCTTCTTGATTCAAATTATTTAAAAAATATTTTAATCATAAAAAATATATTACCTAAAGGACATCAAACAATTTTATTATCATCTATTGTTAACAATTTTTTAAAACATTTAGCTTATAGATTTTCACGTTTAAATTATGTGTATTTAAATTTAGTAGATAATTCTATTTATGATAGCAATTTATTTTATTCCTCTTCTCATATGAACATAGTAAATTCTAACTCTGAAGAAAAATTATCACATATGGAATATATAAAGAGTCAACATTCTACATCTTATGAATTATATAATAAATTAAATTATAAGTTATTATCTATTTATAAGAATAACATTTTAAATTGCACTGATGTAAGAAAATTATGGCATTCTAAGGATGCTAAAACTTTTTATGAAAACATTAATTTATTTAACTCCTATATTGTAAATAATGAAGTAAACAATATAATAGAACAAGAGGATTATAACAATTCCTATATTAATGAAATGAGCAATCAAAATGATATCAATTATTTTAATGAAACAATTCGTCACAACAAAAAAAATACCAATGAAGAAATTAATGATATTAATAAAAAAATTAATTCAGTTTTTATAAATAATATAAGTTGCGGAAGTGATTCAAAAAAAGATGATAACGAATCCAATGAAAAACCACATGGAAATATAGCAATAAATAATGACAAAAAGACAGAAAATATCAAAGAAAATTTTTTTGAAGAATATGCATTTGATGGTTTTCCAAATGAAGAGGATATAAATGGTAAATTAAAATTAGATAATAGTGATTATAATAATTATATAGTCAGTAGTAATAATAATTATGATGAAACAAAAGGAAGAAATTTGCCTACTCATATACTTTTAAAACAAGAATATTTAATATACGAGACAGATAAACTTGCATTAATATTATTTAATATAATTCAGAGAGAATTTTTATTAAATGAAAATATGAAAATTGTTATTTTTATGCCAACAGTAAAAATGCTACAATTTTTTTATGTCATTTTTAAACATTACATATTCAAGGGTTATATATTTTTATTATATTTAAAATTAAATAAATGGAAAAAAAATGAAAATATAATTGATAATTCATATTATTATGATAAGGAAAATGTGAACTTTTGTGTATCTTCAAATCCTTTTATTTCTACAAACAATTATTTCAATAATGTATCGTTTAATTTAGAAAGAGATACAGAGGAATTCAAAAATACAAGCATGAACCAATACAATCAAGAAAATTTAGTTAATAAATTAAATGACAAAAAAATTACGAATTCTAGTAATTCAAGTAAAGAAAATAATATTACTTCAAATATTTTAAACGAAGAAAAACAGAACACCTTAAAAAAGGAAATGGATGATGAAAATAGAGAATATATAAATGAATTTGAAAAATTAAAAGATATTGTAATTTTATGTTTACATAGTAAATTGAGTTTAGATAAAAAAATATACACTTTGAATTGCTTTAATAATTCACAAAAAAAAAAACAAATTTTATTTTCTACTTCTTTACTTTATCAAGGAATTCAATTAGATAAAGTAGATTTAGTAATACAGGTAGGCATAAGTATTAATGTTGATGAATATATTTTAAGAACGCAGATTGCTACAACCAAAAATACACAAGGGAGAAGTTTATTATTATTAAATGAATTAGAAGGTCATTTTTTATATACTTTATATAAAAATAATATTTTAATAAGCAATGTAAGCAAGAAATATTTAAATTATATATATAAAGATAATCCTTTTTTAAATATATTATTAAAATACAAAAAACCTAATAATAATAATATTATTCTGAATAATCAGAAAGAGCCTGAAAATGCAATTGATATAATAGAAAAAAAGGAAAATAATTATGATCATATAAAAAAAAAAAATCAAGAAAATTTTGATAACTTTTATAAATTTCATATAAAACATATCGAATGGCATAAACACAATCATTTATTATCTTCATGTGAATTGATGTATAGATCATTGCTTGGATTTTATTCTGAAAAAAGCAAATATTTAAAATATGAAAAATGGCAAATACCGAGTTTAATTAAAAATATTTTACATTCTTTTGGTTATTTTGATAATTTTTATATAACTAAATGTATGGCTACAAGATTACAAATTTTAAATGCACCTGATGTATATATTAATGTTAATGCAAAATCAAAAAGTGTTTTAATGTCTGCTTTACCATCTTATAAAAGTTATAAATCAAAAATGAATGAATTAAAATATAAAAATTTTTCAAAAATTTCATCATTTAATTTATCAAATGAAGAAAAAGATATATGTAAATTTTATAATTCTCATTATTCTCATATTAATAATAATCAAATAACTGAAAACGAAACTAAAAATGATTCAGGAAAAAACGAAGACATGAAGAAAGAAAAATATGAAAAAAGTTTTATGGAAAAATATCCTTTATATTTTCCTATTCACAAATATTTATCGTAAATTTTGTAATTTTTTTATTTTTTATTTTTTTTTTTTTTTTTTTTTTTAATTTTAATAAAACCTATATATTAAATTATTTGCTATCTTTAAAAACACATAGATTTTTCTTTTTTAAATTATTCAAGTAATTAAACTAATTTATTTAAAATATTTTTATTTTTTTTGTTAAACTTTTTTTTTTTTTTTTTTAATTTTAAAAGAGATATTTTTACTGTATATCTCTTTTAAAATTTATATAAAAATATATACTAAAACAAAAATATTAAACATATACAACTAAAGTGAATGTGTTTAATTATGATGACTTATAAAACATATTAGATAATTTTTCTTTCTTTTTTTTTTTTTTAAAAGATAGGATCATTGAAAATATTATTTTTTTTTTTTTAATATATAGATATTAACTAAAAAAAAAGAAAAAAAAAAAATGAAAGTAAATAAAAAAATACAAGTTAAAGAATCATTAATTGTAACTAAAAAACAAAATGAACAAAATACATAAAAAAAAATAAAAACAAATAGCATATTATAAATAACACAAATTAAAAAAAAAAAAAAAAAAAAAAAATTTAAAAA